CCCTAAAGCTGTTTGACTGATAGATACATCTGAAAGAATAGATGGCTGAAATGTTTTCTAATCCATTGCTGGCTTATTCTGTTCAGAGACAGGAGGGGGGTATTCAGAGTGTGTATGTGTGAACAACAGAAGCTCAAGTAAAACTGAGGTTATTCCATTACACACAGGTTATTGTCAGGAGATGTATTTAATACAAACACTCCAGTACTGCTTAAGACACTGATGAAATATAACCTTGTGATTGCAAGGCAGCACACTCAGTGACGTGCCAGATTAACTGCAGCACAACCTTTAACAATTTCATTTCAAACCAGGTATAACCTGAGCTAAAACAAAGCGTTTGCTGTCCTCCAAAACTGTTTTACTTCACCTAACCTATTTTCAATACCTTGTGCATAGTGTTATGATTCAGTAAACAGAAAGTTTAAATCAACATTTCCAAGGTGGAAATTTTTTTTTTATTTTTCAAAACCCTAAAGCTGTGGGGTTTTTAACCAGATTTGCAGTTTGCTTAGATGGCGCAGAGTCCAGTCCCTGAAGGTGGACCTTCTGAAGATTCTGGATCTTCAAGACTGAAACAGCGAAATGTGCAAAAGTAGTGGCACTCCTAGGAACAGCCTAATAAGTATTGTGAAGACTGGTAAAAACATTACGGTTATTCTACAGTGTACTGAATCCATTCATTAAATCCTTTCCTCAATTTAAGTTTCTCTGATTTTATATATTTAAAATTCACTTAGAAAACTTTTAACTTCCACATATCATGACTAGATCCATGACCTGAAACTAATCCACGTTACAGTAAATATAAATCACAAATGCACAAATCTGTAAAACTGTCAAGCTAGTGCTTCAATTCAAAACCTGGCTGATAGGCATCTCTGTTAACAAAATAAAAAACTCTAAGTTGTAGGGACATATAATTATCACCTACGCTACAACTAAGCATAAAGGATTTAATGCTGAGATATTCTGAAGTTCCCAAGGATAATAAATTAAGATTTAAAGTAGAAATTGTAATCACAGGGGATGGGGATAGGGAATCAGCTATGCATCAAAATAATACTTACTCAGAAAGTCTGGACTCAAAATCAGTAACGGTTTCTTCTGTGAACTCTATCTCTTCAGCATTGTTTCTTGAATTCCTGGAACATTACGCATAATTAGCAACAGAGATGCACACAAATAGGCCTGACTAAAGTAAGGGCAGAGTTGCACTTACAAAATCAGACTGCCTTCACTTATCAGATGTTCTAATGTCAACTGCAAAGATTCTAAACTGTAGTTTCTAAGCCATTCTTCTGTGGTTTGCACCTTTTCAGACTGCATTTTCTTCAGCTGTATTCTCTATAGATCAAGTAAGAAAAAATTAAACGCAGTATGCGAAATTAAACTAAGTCCTAAGAACAGCTGCTGGCAGGCAGCGCATATCAAAGAACAACATAGTTCTAGGTACTGCTATACTCTTCTAGATGTAGGAGCAAAGGAAAAGAAGGTTTCAGAATACCCTCAGACTGTGAACTAAAGGAAGGGGAAAGAGGAGGAGACAGAACGGAAGACAAGAGAGTTTAGTAAAAGAACTAAAAGAAATACACCAGTGATTTACCAGAGAGGAAGAAAAAGCAAGCATCTCCAAAATCTGCCTGACAGAGTTTGGAGTATATATGTCTTCTGCTTTTCTAATGAAAAATGCAGTATTGACAATTGATCTGCCTTTATTATTTTGAGTGATATTTTCACAGACTGATTCATTTCTGCAGAGAAACTTTATGTAGTTTCATGACTTTACTGATTGTACCTATGACCTTGTGTGTATATGCAAATATATGCAAGGAAACATCAGTTATCTATGAGCTTATTTATTCCTCACCCAGCATTTATAGTGGGTTTGTGCTACTTTTCTAGTTGCTCCGTTTAGCAGGAAAACTTGCCTACCAGCACATCTTGTGTGTTACTGACATGTGTTACCAGCAATCCATTATCTGGTTCTAGATGAGACTTAGTAAAATCTTGCCATGGTGGATGATCACCCTGTGGACTGGACTTTGTTGTTACCCTACAAGACAATGAATTTTATGGGATGACTTCACTACTCAATACTGTATTGTCAGTACAAGTCTTCACAAGCTTTTTCCGTAGGAACTGTTTTATAGTTTGACATTTGTTTACACATTCCATTTGATATACAATAAATATTTGGGGCACAGTACCTAGTTTATACGAGCCACAGTCATTTACTCTATATCTACCTATGAAGTCCTAAGAAGATTTTGTAACAGTATCCTCACCCAACTTTTTCCAAAACTTCATCATTGTCCAACAACTGTGCCATTTTCCTGTAGCGTGCATCCATTATATGAACAGACTTAGCCTTGATTAAAAAAAAAAAAAGGGCAAAATGACAAATATTAGAGTATAAAGCTCTTAAATTCCCAGAAATACACACTATTAAAAATGGTATTATTATAGTCAGCAACTTGTAGGACAATTACAATGCATGTGGGACAACAGCAAATTAGAAAAACAGCTGCAAAGAGAAGTTACAATTACCCATCTATAGAAAACACACTTGGGAACTATTTTGCAGGAGCTATTTCATGCAGTTAATTATATGTAAGCACAGCTGCTGGGAGTCTAGCTGCACAGCTCGACCAGAAAAAAGAGAAAAAGACCAAGCACAGCGACGCCC